CATTGGTTTTCCATTGGACTAAGAATAAAATGCAAACTCCTTATCATGGCTTTACAGGGTCTAACTGAAAAAGAGTGTTCAAACTCATTTCATCTCTCTGTCTAGTGTCCAAGATCACTAAAACTGGCTTCCATTCTATCAATCTAATGCATCAAGAATTCTGATGCCTGAAGACTTTGTGCTTTGCCTATCTAATTTCCCTTCTTGGCTCTCTGGTTGACTTTTACATTCTTTAGATCTCTTGATAAATATTGTTATTGTTAGTTGCTTTTGAGCTAATCTCAACTCATGATGATTCCATGTGTACAGAGTAGATCCACTCCTGGCTCCATAGGGTTTGCAAAGCTGTGACCTTTTGGAAGCAGATCACCTGGCCTGTCTTCTGAGGCACCTCTGGTTGAGTTTGAACCACCAACTTTTTAGCTACTATTTGAGTACTTCACTCTCATTAAGTCTCTCCACCCTGTCATTGATTTCAACTATAACACCATAATTTGTACCCTCCCAGCACTTTTACCTCAAGCTCAGACTATTTATTTCATTTCTATTGTGTTTCCCTCAGAAGAATATGAATTCCATGAGATGGGGACCATGTGTGCTCATCTGTCCTGTTCTTTAACCCTAGAGCCTAGCAGCATAATTGGCATTCAATATGTATTTGTTAAATGAAAGCATAATTATATGGATGAGGGAATGAAGGTTTTTTTATTCTTGAACCCTGATTTTATGATTACAGATTGTGTTGCTTGAATTGTAACATTTTTTTTGAAAAGTGTGGGGTGAATATTTGCTATTGATATTCAGAAGCAATATTTTCCAGAATTTTTTTAAAAGTTATATATAAACACCATAATATTGGAAGAAATTTGATCTTTATGGCAAAATAATGCTAGATTCTTTTTAATTAAAATATAATTTAAACCTGTATTATGAATCTTACTTATAATAGATAAAAAAATTTCTGACTTCCTCTCTCTGTAGGTGGCAGCCATGGATCCAGGTTGAAAATTAGTATTCAGATATAGGGGGGAAGAATCAAATTTTGTACACATATCGTGTGTATACAGGCAATTCTAAAGAAAACATTTTAGGGAAATACCAAATTAAACTTCAGGCAGTTTGATCAAAGGAATCTTCTAGCTCAAGGTGAGGCTCTGTATGACCCTCAAGGTGGAGCTGGGAAGTCCTAACTCCAGAAAAGTTAAAAGGGAAGGAGGGAAATGAGTCTAGAGTGAGTTGCTGATGCAGATTTTGTATTCTGTCTGGTGTTCACACTCCTAAATGGGAAAAATATGGTAAAATATGTTGACGTAGCCAACACAATTGAGTACAACCAGAACAGCTCACACTTTGAGTTCCACAAAAGCCAAAAGAATCTGCAGCACTCTCTGAGAAGCTTGGCCCTTAAAATCTTAGGGCTCTATTACCTCAATTTTATTATTGCTAATCAATAATCAATTTGCTAATCAATAATCAATTACTAATCATTTACCTCTTCCTTCTTAAAAGGAATGCTCTGGTGCCACAGTGGTGAAAGCACTCAGCTGATAACTGAAAGGTTGGTGGTTCAAACCCACCAGCTGCTCTGCAGGAGAAAGATTACGCAGTCTGGTTTTATAAAGATTTACAGCCTTGGGAACCCCATGGAGCAGGTGTACTCTGTCTTATAGGGTCACTATGAGTTGAAATCGACTTGACAACAATGGGTTTTCTAAGAAGGATGCATCTTGTGTGATCATTTTATTTTTTTGTTGTTGCTTGTATACAAACTCTAGTTAATACAACTGTATTGATGACAAATTTATTTATATTTGGTTAATTTTTAATGACAAAGATGTTCAAATTCTCGTACATTAGGGTATCAAGTTCAGTCAAAACTATAATGTATATATGTATGTGGCAAGGATGTGGCATTTCCTTAAGTGGAGACAGTTATGGTTTGCTTGGTCATAAAATAAATTTAGTGGATTGGACCTTACCTTATTAAAGAATAATAAAAATAATTAGAAGAATAGCAAGTATCAGTTTATGCTACATGTAATAAAATGCACTTTTCATAAACTTTTGGAGGACAGATATATGCATGCGCTGTATGCCCATGTAAAATATGTCTTACCATGAAAGAAGGTTAAAAAGTTTGAAATATACTATCCAGAGGAGATTAATGGACAGAAAGATTATTATAGGTTGAGTGGTCAAGGATGGAGAGCTTCATGGGGCTGAAAGTAGTTGAATGAGGCTTAGAGGAGATGGGATGACATTTCAGGTGGAAAAATCTACCAAAAAGAATTCTGTAATTGTGAATCAAGTTATAACTAGAAGGGAAAGTGAACTCCACAGAGCCAGCTGACACTTGAACGAATGACCACCCTAAAGCCAACTATGCTTCCTGAATATTTTAGAAAACATGTGGTCAATATACAACAAAATCTACATCTGCTGACTTGGAATCATCATGGATCTCTAATGACACAAGGGAAACTTTTAATGGAGTTGTTCTTGGAAGGCACACGACACTTAGAAAGGTGATCAAAATAGTCTTCTGTCCAACTGCTTGCTCCAAATAATTCTTTACTTATATCCCTGAGATAACTATCTAGTTCAACAAACTGAAAGTAATTTTTTTTTGGTTGTATTATATCCACTTGTGACTTCTTTTGGTTTGTGGACTCTCCAAGCTCTACTGGTCTAATATTTTTTGGACAGAGATTCTAGGCCTTCGGGCAACTTCTTTATTTTAGCATTATTTTAAATACATATATACAAAAGAAGCAAATAGGAAAGAATAAAACCACTCCGGGTGGCCTCTGGAGCAGGGTAGCTGTTGTTGCAGGAATCTTGCAAGTTAATGAGAATTCACCCGGGACTCAAGAGCGATGGAGAGGGGAGAAAGGAGGAGTTGGGGGGGGGGCGTATAAAAACTCTTCCTTTGCAGCTGGCCCTCTCCCTCATTTGTTGCTCCAATAAGCAGTAATTAGGTCCTGAGCTAATAGTGTCAGCTGATCTGCTGTTTTTAGGCTAGACCCAGAGGAATCTCCATGGAAACCCTGCTGGAGTCGTCCCCCCACCTGGATGCTGCGTGCTCCTTTCCGCCACCTGGCTGTCGCCGGGCACGCCGCTACCTCCTCCTGCCTCTAACCTGCAGCCTGCAGCATGCGCACTGCCCCCGGGATCCCTAAATGGGACAATTCTGCCCGTGACGTCAGCGCCCAGCCGTCTCCACAGAAACTTTTGTCCCATTGGCCAATCAGAGAGCTGGAAGGGGCCTGGGAAGGGGGGTGGGAGGAGAGGGGAGTGGGAGGGGTGGGGGGTGAGGGGAGAGGCGAGAGGTTTAGTGTGTGGAGCTGCTCGCGCTCCGCCCGGGCTGTCAGTCCCGGCTCCAGCCGCCGCGAGACCTTCCCGGAGACGCGCGCACACACAGCGCACCCCCCCGCACACCGCACACCCTCGCTCCCTTGCTCACACACACGCACACACTCAGACTGGCCCAGCAGGAGCCACTGACCATTTTGCAAGTGCCAGGACCAGCTGCGGCGTGTTGGGCACCAACACTCCGCGTTCCTATCCTGGGCTTTGGTCTTGGAGACCGCGACGAGAGGCGCAGGCGGGCTCGGACACGGACCAGGCGCCAGGCACTGGTCAGGCCGCCTTCCCGGCAGAACCGCTCCCCGGGACGGGCGCGGGCCTCGGCGGAGAGTATAATAAAGAGAAGCGGCCGCAGCCGCTGCGCGACGAGGATGGGAACTCCCCTAGTACCAGCTCTGTACCAAATGGATTGAAATCCTGAATGGAGGAATCGCTGACTTCATTTGCTTGGGAAAATCGTCCAGAGGAACTCATATTTGGCCACTCTGAGCAGTGGAGGGGGTGTCCATGACGTGGCAGGGGGGAAATAGACATCCGAAACCTCCTGTGTGAACTGCTAACTGTGACCAAAGGGAAAAAGATCTCTATTTTCATGCAAAGGTTTTAAGCATCCTTATCATTACTTAGAACTTACTTCTATGCCTTGTACCCAGTTCAGCAAAAACCAGAGAAGTCCTGTCTGGGGTGCCCATCGTTATCCTGGAGATCGGCTGCCAGCGGCCTGCTTTCGTTTGCCCACAGCTCTCTGGAACGGATATCTGTTTGGGGTACAACAGTGTATCCTATAGAACTATGACCAAATCTCCAAGATTGCTTTGGTAATTTCTGCGACCTAACTCATAGAACCTACATGCGAGGCTGGAATTTAGCCCAATTGCATCTGAGGAAATGACATTTTAAGCCGTTTTAAAAATACCTTTTATTATTATTATTCCTGTAAAGCAGGATTTGATAGGCTTAAAAACCTGACAGGTAAGAACTTTCTCTCTTTCCAGTCCCCCAACGCCCAACGTAGGAAAGGCCGAACCGGAGCAGGACCCTGGAGGAGGAAGAGCCCCGGGCCCCTTGTGCCCTTAGGGAAAAGCAGGCGCGCGGCCCGGAGGCTGCTTTCGGGAGAGGCGCAGCTCTAGCTCCTGGCCCGCGAGGCTGGAGGCTGGGGAAGCTTCTGGGGCGCGCGCGGGGTGGTGGCGCTGCGCTCCACCTGCTTTGCCCAGGACGCAGCCCAGGGCAAAGGCGTTCAGGGATCACCCCAAGTCAATATTGGGATTTTTAATAAACTAAGGAATGGGATTTTAATTATTCAAAACCCAGCTCCTCTGGGTCTGATGCTGTTGGGATGGTCCTGGCCACACAATATTAAGGAGACGGATCACTCAGAGGACTAGCAAAGCGTCCGAGGCATCCGTTACAATTACGAATGAACCAGAGACTTGGGAGCCCAGGGCATTGATCGCTGCTGCCCAACTGGACCCTCCTCCCGTCTCCCCATTGCTGCCCCCGCCCCAGACAGGCTCCGGCGGTTGCCGGGACCTCGCGTCCCTGCGTCGTGGCCGGGGCTGCATTTTTCATGAGCCCGGGGTGAACAGGTGCGAAGTGCGTTAGGAGCATCCGGCCGGCGGCCGGCCGCGGGGAACATGGAGAGCGAGCGCGACATGTACCGCCAGTTTCAGGACTGGTGCCTAAGGACTTACGGGGACTCAGGCAAGACCAAGACGGTGACCCGTAAAAAATACGAGCGGATCGTCCAGCTCCTCAACGGCTCCGAGTCGAGCTCCACGGACAACGCCAAATTTAAATTCTGGGTCAAATCGAAGGGCTTCCAGCTGGGCCAGCCCGACGAGGTCCGCGGGGGCGGTGGCGGCGCCAAGCAAGTGCTCTACGTGCCGGTCAAGACCACGGTGAGTGGCTCGCCTTCCTCTGTTATTTGTCTGGCGGAGACGCCCGGCGGGGAGGGAAGAGCGAGGGGGGAGAGAGGGGGAGCGTGAGCCACCGTTGGCTCCTGTGCCCCCCACCTTCTGCAGCCCCCTCCCCAAGTCGTGCTCACTCTCCTTAGCCAGGCGCGTTTTCCCCACGGTGGCGTCTTTGTGGTCCTTGATTTTAAAGCGGCAGCGCACCTTCCGAGTCTGCGGTCCTCCTCGCCTCCCAGCTCCCAGACCCGCGGCTTAGCGTCTTGCCCGGGTCGGGCGGCGTCCGGCGTCCTTGGGCTGGGCCATTGTCCCATGTCCTCCTCGGGGCGCCTGGCGCGTGTCCCGCCGCCGCGCGCATAAAGGCCACGCTGAAACCCCAGCCGCACGCGCCGATAATAGACGAATCTGATCGATAGTCTAGAGTGTCTCCTTATTGGCACAAAGCCCGAAAGTGGCGCTAGTCGTGGATGTGGGGTTTTCCTCAGGACACTTTCAGGTTTTATTGTTAGACCGCAGCCTTGGAAACACAGGGCAGTCCCAACGCCTTGAGGATTCCCAGACGATTCTCCTTGCCTCGACTGTTTGGATTGTAAATAAGGTTCTGGAGATTCCGCCTCTCCCCCCCACCCCCACCCCTTTCCCTTCCTCACTTCTCCTCCTTTCCACGAATAAATCAGCAGCGAGATGATGAACAACAAAGAGAGATGGGTTTGGGAGCGATCAAAAGATGTTTGTGTTTGTTCCTCTCTCTGGGATGGCTCTAGTCTCATGGCCACAAAGCTCTAAACCTAGGCTCTGCTAGGCACTGGCACTGAGAGCCGAGTATGTCTCAGCCTCACGCCGCAAAAGCCTGTAGGGCTGGGGAGCGGCAGCCGCGTCAATGCCCTTTATTAGAAGATTGGAACTCTGGGCTACAAGTAGGATTGCAGATCAGAGCCTTGAGACTTCTTTCTGCAGCATACTACGGTGGGTACTCGCCTGGAGTAGGGGTGGGGGAGGGTACCTGGCATCCTTTGCATTTTTGCCTCGTTTTGGGGTTTCTTGAGCGTTTGCTCTGTTTTTCGCCCTCCTTTACTGGCGACTGTTCCCCCATGCAATATTCCTGGAGGATGCTAGAAAGGAGACGGCTTGAAAACTGTTCTTCTATATCTAACGGAGCTATATTAAATTGGAAATATATGCATGAAAAGATTTTTCAAAGGATTATTTGAAGGTCTCTTTCAGGTTTGGAAAACAGTCTATGGTTTCCTTAGATAAATTAGGGATAGTTGTTTAAAGGAAGTATATTTCATTTGGAATTTATATGTAATATGGGAAATGGAAATAAAGGTGAAATGGAAACACACAAAAGTTCTCCTGTTTTTTTTTTTTTTTTTTTTTTTTAATGTACTCTTGTTGGAAGGTTTCTAGGAGAGTGATATATAAATGTAATCTTCTTCTAACATGTGGCATTGCTAAAGACAATGGTGAGATTACTGTCTTGCTTTACTAAATAATGAAGGCTAGATAGGCATGAATTAGTACTAGGGTTTATTTACATCTCGATGGGCCAGAAGTCTGTTGTAGAAAGTGAACTGCTTTGATTCATTTGTATTGGGTGTAGCATTCAGGACATGATTTTTAATAACAATTTATTGTTAGAGAAATTAAATTAGAATTCAAAACATAATAATGTATTTTCCTTTAGGCAAAACTAGGCTAATAGAAGGAGTAAAGTTAGCATTTAAGATGTATTTATTTAAAATATGATTTAATAATATCATATAAGCTTTAAAGAAAAATTACCAGTCAAGAATTTTTTTATTATTATTCTTTCTTTTATGGTAAACTTAGGTCCCTTTGTTTATCAATTGAATAACTTCACTTGTGACCTGTGTATTGGTCAAATGAGTTTATACTTGTGTGAATCTGGCTACAGCCACTATATATGTAAACACATTCATCGTTATAACTAACAATTCTAACATAAATTCTGTGAACAGTTATACAAGCTATAGGGTTACAATGAGTCAGAAATGACTCTGTAGCAAAGTTTTTTTTTTTTTTTTCCTTTTAATAGAAGATAAACTCAGACCTACATGGATGCCAGCATTCACATATTCAGATATATATATATATATTTGGTCAAAATTAATGCAGAGTTGTTAAAAATTACAGTTAAGATATGTTATATAGAGTAGCAACATCAGGGTTAATAATACAGTAATATATGTTTTCCTTTTCAGTTAAGATGACAAATATTTATGGAAGAAAAAGTAATCAGGTAGCATTACTAGATAATGCTTTGTGCATAGTATTTAAGAGCTTTGCTCTTCATTTAATCATGTTTTGAGATTCTGTTGAAGAGGTTTTTAATTCATGAATTCCTCTATTGCACTTTATGAAAATTTTATGCTGCTCCTGACATAGCTATAGACTCCTCCTTCTCTGAGCGACAGCCAATCACCATTTCAATGAGTTGAAGAATAAATAAAAGATCCCCTTTTATCATGTTTCCCCACATCTCAAATTATTTCTTCCTTCAAAACATGGTGATTTTCTTCATGATAGTGGAAACACAATGACTGAGAAGATAAAATATATATATATTTTTTTCTTTTCATTCAAAGGCATATATTGGTTGAAATAAAGTACTTTACTTGAATGGTATTTTCAAGTATACTAAGAATCATTTTAATCTACTTGAGGTTTGAAGGTTTGCATCTGGTTTTGCTGTCAGTGAGAGAGAGAGAGAGAGAGAGATTTGCTCCTGATGTTGCAGTAATCCACTGCTGCTGGTAATTAGACATCATTACTACTGAAAAAAAGGAAAGAGAGAAGGGGGGAGGACAGGGTTGGGCTAATTAACTAGTTTAATGAAAGAAAGAGAGACTGATAGCAACTGGGAGGCTGTATTAGAATAGACTAGACACACCACACAGAATTAATTGAAAGAGGACTATCTTCCAGTCTTTCAGTCAAAGAAGCTTGGTTTTCCCTCTTGTTTTCTAAAAATAATAGATGTAGCTTTGCAAATACTCTTTCCTTGCTGCCTAAACTTTGGTGATAATAAAACCAAGCAGGTAACATCTGACTTAAAATAAAATGTAGTATTATGGAAAAAATAGATGTTCCCTGTATTATTTATCCTGGTCAGGTCTCAGGCTGAGGGGACATATCTGTCACTGATGTTTAGATTTCTCTGTGGCCAAGGAGATACTGTTTGGCTACTAAGCAACAGCATCCTGCAACTCAGTCATTTCAAGCCATTTCAGGTTCAGAGTGGGACATGTGTGTGTGCACGTGCACACACACGCACGTGGCACATGTGCACCTGCACAGATGGAGTTTGTGGAGCACCCCATCTCAGATTTTTTCTCAGGTATTTTTTAAATACTATCACTATTATTTTTATATGTTCTTTCACAAAGGCTATCAGAAGTTTGTTGTTGTGGTTGTTGTTGTGTGCCATTGAGTAGGCCCAACTCATAGCGACCGCTCCTTGGGTTTCCGAGGCGATATCACTACAGAAGTAGATTGCCCAACCTTCCTTCCAAGGAGTGGCTGGTGGGTTTGAACCACCAGCCTTCTGGTTAGCAGTCAAGTGCCTTAGGCACTATGCTACCAGAGCTCCTTGTCAGAAATTTAGAAGAATGAAATGATGACTAGCCTAGAACAATTCTGGAAATATGCAGCAAATGTTGGATGTTAATTATAATAAACATTTTATAAGTGATCATTTTGATTTAAAATTACTTTGGTCACTATTTTACATCGTTTGTACTTCAAGTTTCATTTCTTTTTAGAAGCTTTTGATCCCTATTGACCTTTGATTTTCTGGCAACAGTGAGTTGAAACATCACATTTACGCTTCAAACTACACATCACCTTGTAGCACTTGATATCATGGAAAGTAAACTTGGAAAATAACTAGAAAGTTCATTCAACTTTTCCATTAGCAACAGGATTATTGTAGCATCATGTATTTTTTAAAAAACTTACTGAATTATATAAAACACTAGGAATTTTGGTAAGCTCACTGTTTTTTACTTATCATTCAGTCTTAACAAACAAGGTAATGAATACTCAAACTGTATAATCAAGCAACGTGCTACTTTTTTTTTTTGACCAATATTTGTAGAGACTGACACTCAGCTATAATTTTTGCATTTTGCGCATTTTTAAATCTTTTGTCCTACTACAGAAGATAAAAGAAATTTCAACCAGAAGGAAAATGAGTTATCTTTGGTCATGTCAAATAAAAATGATGAGTTATTCATTTGTGCAATCTGTAGGCTCAGATTTCCTATTCTTCTTGCAGTGTATACTACTAATTGATTACTGTACAGTGATTAGAATGAATATTTATGGACTAGCTCCAGAACAGTTACTGTTTTTGTTCATTCTCTGACTGTAGTTTTGGTTATAAATCCTTTATGCTACATCACAGTGAGTGAAATAAGGCCTCATAAGGAGACCGTACATTTCTGTCTGGACTAACTCAACGCCTGAGGCACACATCATATAGATCAAGCCTTGATCTGCACCTTGCTACAGAAATTCCAGAAACCAAAGCTAGTAATTGTGCTGAACCTCTTCCCACCCTGTACCCCAAAATACTATCGTACGGTAGATTCCTACTCACAGTGACCCTATAAGACAGTAGAACTCCCACAGATGGTTTCCAAGGCTGTATATCTTTGTTGAAGAAGACTACCACATCTTTCTCTTATAGAGTGGCTGGTGGGTTTGAACCACTGATCTTTCAGTTAGTAGTTGAGCTTTTTAACTACTGCACCTCAAGGGCTCCTCAAAATTTTGCTGCTGTTGTTGTTGTTGTTATGTGCCGTTGAGTCAGACCTGACTCATATCGACCCCTCCTTTGGTTTCCAAGACAGTATCACTACGGAAGTAGATTGCCCCATCTTCCTTCCGAGGAGTGGCTGGTAGGTTTGAACCGCCAGTCTTCTGGTTAGCAGTCAAGTGCCTTAGGCACTATGCCACCAGAGTTT